CAAATATATTCAATCATCTCAATCCATTTACTGAATAATCTTGTTTTTCCCATTAATTGTAATATAATTTTAAAAATCATGTATTCTCATGTATATGTGTCTCTGTGTAGACTTTTTCTATTGATTTCTTTGTCTGAATATGGACTCATACTATACTGGTTGGATTGTTTTTTTTCACTTGTGGAAAATTTCAAGTATATTCAAAAGTGTAGACTATTTTAATTATTGTGACTTTATAACAATCTTTTACTATCTGGTAAGTCTGCCATCTTTCCCTATCCCATAGCTCTTTTTTGAATTTGCCTAAGTATATATTACTTTTTGCACATTAATGTTAGACTAAACTTAGCTAGTTTCCCCCAAAATTCTGATTATCTTAAAATTATAGAGATTATCTTTTGGGTTTTTAAAAATTTTTTATTGGGAAACAGTGTGTTTTTCCAGAACCCTTCAGATCCAAGTCAAGTAGTTGTCTTCAATTTAGTTGTGGAGGGTGCAGCTCCTTGGACCATGTAGGAATCGAACCGGCAACCTTGGTGTTATGAGCTTGTGCTCTACCACCTGAGCTAACCAGCCACCCCTATAAAGATTATCTTAAAATTATAGATTACTTTGGGAGATTTGTCATCTTGAGTCTTTCAAGAATATGGCTCGTCTTTCTATTTGTTTGAGTTTTCTTTTGTGATCCTCAGTGGTGCTTTAAAGTTTGTACTATTTGGATTTTCACATTTTTAAAGTTTATATCTTGTATTTTTCTCCACTTTTTTGGGGGGGAGAGGGGCGCTATTGTAAATAGGATCTTTTTTTTTTCTTTATATAGTTTTTACAAGCTATTGTGTGTATATATATGTGAAGGTTCTTAATTTCATAATATTAATTTTCTACCCAGCTACCCTAATGAATTATTTTATTTGTAATATTTTTTCAGCTTTTCACTTGGATTTTCTGGGTACACAATCATGTACATATACAGTCTACAAATGCTATATTTACTTTTCAATTTTGGTACTTGAAGCTGACTATTCGAATTCAAAGTGTTACAGTAACATTCTCATTTAGGAGGGGCTTTCGGCAAGCATAGTGGGCCCAATGGTGCAAACCTTAGGGGAAGCAGGATACATTGCTAATGAGAGCCGTTGAATCCAAGGATGGGGTTTTGGTTTTGGTTTTTCATATTTCTTTCTTTTCCTTCCTCTAGATGTGAAGTCTGGATGCTATACAGTGTTAGAAGTGGTGGAAGCCCTTGGGTAAGAGCCTCTGCTCTAGAATGCCCAGCTCGGCCTATACACTCTCAGACAGTTATTTTGTACACTGTTGCTTTTCTGGAGCTAATTGGTCCTGAGTTTCTCCTACTGTAGCCCAACACCTCTCTTCTCCCCTATCAAACCTCAGGCTCAGCCTGTGTTTCTCCTGATAAAAGTTTCATGCCACCTGACTAAGGCTCTAAGGAAATGTTGGGAACACCCAGCCTGCGGCCACATCAGCCCCTGGATCAGCCCACAGGTTTGGGGTGAGGTGGGTGGTTGAAGGCCATCAACTGTTATTTAATTAGAGCTGGGGTTCCTGTTCCGCTTCAGACCCACCGACTCCCAAGGGGTTCTAGTCAGCCTACATCTGATTCAGACCTGCCAGTGCGCCCGACCTGGGGAGTTGCCAGGAAGCTGACCTTGCACTTCGTCACCACTATAAGCAAAGACTTGGGGAAACAACTGGAAAATCCTTGTTGCCACCGGATATTCTAAGCACCCGAGGAAATATGTGCTTGTAGTCTAATGCCTGCTTTCCTCATATTTCTTACTTGGTAGACATAGACTGTTTAAATTGCAGATCCTAGCAAAGGTTAACAGTCAAGTCCAGCATGTCTTCTAAAACAGAGAAAAGTAGAAAATTTATGTGGGGGGACTAGGTCACTATTATGCATTTCTCCCACATAAGTGACCATTTGGCCTTTCTACACATGTTTTTCTGGGCTTGGTTCATTTAAAAACAAAAAACACTTTACTCAAATATACGTAAAAATTCATGTCTTAAAACATCAAGCAAAAAACACCTTTATTGGGATATATTTCATATATATAAAGGTCACCATTTTAAAGTGTATATTCACAGACTTGTGCAACCCTTACCACAGTCAATTTTAGAACATTACCCCAAAAAAGAAACCCCCTGCCCATTAGCAGTCACTCCTGATTCCCTCTTCTTTTCCAGCCCCTGGCAACCACCAATCCACTTCAGTCTCTGTAGATTTGCCTATTCTGAACATTTCATATAAATGGAATCATACCATATATGGCCTTTTGTGGCTGGTTTCTTTCACATAGCATAATGCTTTCAGAGTTTGTCTCTGTTGTAGCATATATCGGTATTTCATTTCTTGGTGGATAATATTCCATTGTATGACTATACGACATTTTGTTTAACCATTTATCAGTTGAGAGATAATTGGCTTGTTTCCACATTTTGCCTATCCTGAATAATGCTGCTATGAGTATTTGTGTGCCTTAGTCCATTTTTAAATGCACAGTTTTCTATAATATTTCTGAGCAAGGACCTTTCTACAAGTTCCTATCCTAGGGATCCTGTCAAGAGTGATCTTATTTTTGCCCCTTTTACCCCTAGTTATAGGTACTCTTATTCTTGAGGTTTCACTCGAATATCCTGGCCAGTTCTCCTTCAGAACTTTTCTACTTCCTACATTCACTGGCTTAGATTCCTTCCAGTATATTTAAATATAATCTCTATAGAGCTATTTTGAAGGTAAATCACCTTGTTGCTTTGCTTCAGCCCAGGTCCTCCCACCCCGTATCAGTAATCCTGAATAGTTAAAACCTTTATTCTGGCCATTACTTTGTAAACTTTCCAAGTTATAAAGTTTGTTTCCCCCTAAGACCTTGGTGGTTGCTCTTAGCATTTTTTCTTTAGAATAATATATTTATTCTCCTCTTGTTTTGGTAGAAGCTGCAGCTACCAATCACCTCTTAAGCCCTGTGAGTGCTAAGCTCTGTTTCAGAAGAGTGGCACAATTTTACACTGGGGAGAAAGAGTAAGCCTAATGCCCAGTCAGTGCCTGGAGACAGCCACTTTTTTTTATTGTGGCGTCACATGTGCCTCTAATGATGCCAGATCAACCTGGGGATTGGCTCTTTAGACTCTGGCCTTACTGTCATCCATAATAATAAGCACCTTCAGAACACCTTCCTGGGCTGGCATCCATACGCAGGGCTTAGTGTACCTAATTGCAAAATATTTATTCCTCTGAAAGTTTGAGCTGGGTCATGCCAGGCTCTCTCTATCCTACTTTCTTTCAGGTCCTATATAGAGAATCCAGAACCCCGAACTCGGGCCCGAGGAATCCAGCTTTTGTCACAGGTGCTACTTCAGTGTCACTCCTTGCTCCTGGAGAAGGAAGGTACATCACTAGTAAGAGTGTCTCCCTGGATTGCTGAGCCAAGGCTTTCGTTGTCTATTGAAGCCAACTTGACAGGGAGAGAGGGAGGAAGGGAGGGCATGAGGTATCTTGAACTACTAATTCAAGGTCTTCGTTCCTCACTGGTATATGTGGCAGAGATGATAAGAATTGAGACAGAAGACACTTGGATTTTAAATGTTGCCTTAGACAATTGTTTTCAGTGTATCCTCCCCTCTCTGTAAAATTGACAAAGTCGTGTTTCATAGATGAAGTGGAAAAGTAATGAAATATAAAAATACACTGAGGAAAAAAGCCAATAACTTATTTATCTTTTATAGCAGGGATAGGCAAACTATAGCCTGTTTTTATAAATAAAGTTTTATTAGCATATAGCTATGCCTATTTATTTACTGATTTTTTTTATGCTGCTTTTATCTTATAGCAGCCAGATAAGTTGAGCAATGTTGAGTAGTTGTGACAGATATTATGTCCTGCAAGCCTAAAATATTTACATCTGGCGCTTTGAGAAAGTTTGCCAGACTTTCTCAGAAAGGTGGTTGAGGGGTTGAGAAGGGGTTTGACTCTAGACCTATGTGAGACTGGATAATAAATGATGTTTTCCTGTTTTCCTGACTGATCAAGTCACCCTCAAATGGGAGGGCATGGGATATATCTTTTGGTGCAGGAGAAAACTTATAGTGAAGCCCAATCAGGAACAGCCCAGAAAAACTCTGGGAAGGAGCAGCCTGGTGGGCCCTCCTCCAACCTGTGTGAACTAATGGCTGAATGTCTGGTTTGTGCAGTGGTACACCTCATCCTATTCTATGAGAACCGGCTGAAGGACCATCATCTTGTGATTCCACCTGTCCTGCAGGGCTTGAAGGCACTTGTGAGTTCTCCCTTTTTTCATTACATACCATGTTTGCAGGAGCCCTTTTCTCTCATTGCTCTTTGAGGGTGAGACTTCAAGTCCTGAGGAGCAGATACCCAAATGTGGGACTAAGCTAGTGTCAGCCAGCTCCATTTCTGGTTTTAGTCTAGAAAGTCAAAGTATCCTTTGGGGACTAGAATTCCGAGCCAGACTGGAAGGAGCTGCAGAGAACTAATCATTAGCTTGAGAAAAGGGACCATGTTTCTCACTGTTAGCACTTCCTGCTGAACCTGGATGTTGTGATTTCTACTAATTGGTCCTGTTTTAGAGTTGTGTCTTGAAGGCCATGCTGGAATTCCCTTGGTGCTCACATATCTCCTCTTTTCCACCAGAGCCTATGTGTGGCGCTGCCCCCAGGGCTGGCTGTCTCTGTGCTTAAAGCCATCTTCCAGGAAGTCCCGGTCCAGGTGAGTGCTAACAGTCACTTTGGTATTGTGTTTCCCAGATCTTTTTTTAGTTTCAGGTGTACAAAACAATGTAATAGTTATATCCCAGCCCTTGACAACTAGAATTAGATGGCAAAATATTAATACTGAGAAGTTCTGAACTCTCAGGTCTTTAACCATGGTTAGGCTATTCAAATCTTGAAAGCTCTTGGTTTACATGCTATTCCTTGCTACTGTATAAGAAGAGAGGGGCATGCCATTATGTCTGACCTGTGTCCTGTTACGCCTAAAGAAAGTAAGACATACAGCAGACAGGTTTTGGTTATTGGCTTCATTGCTATAGTGCTGCGCTAATAGCCATATCCTTTCTCTGCATTTCCTCTTCAGTTCATCTTATATTGGTATAAAGAGCACTGTCCACTTAGAGATTGTAAAGCAGGAAGTAGTTTTGTCAGCTGAGTTATTCTTTGAGCACTTCCTTTACTACTCCTTGTCTCTCCCACCCCTAAGTCCCTACCACAGGCAGACCGACACTCAGTCTACAGTATCATCACCAACTTCATGCGAACCCGGGAAGAAGGTAAGAAGCAGGGCTGTCTGAGAAATCTGAACAGTGAGCACATCCTTTATTTTTACCCAATACCAGGAGTCATTTTAGCCTTGGGGTTAAATACTCTGAGAGAGAATGATAAAGGGAAACTGGGGGTCCACTCACTCCCTAGTAAAGTAAAGGAAGGGTAGAATTTGGGCTGCTGTTTTAAATTCATATCTCTGTAACAATTATATATTGCTGCACATCTCTTCTTCACTGTGGACTCTCTTGAATTAGGAAAACAGAAAGGGTCCTCTCTGGGACACAAGAAAGGGGAGGCAGTGATAGTAGAGGGAGAACACAGGCAAGAAGAAAACCCAGCTTCCTGTCCCATGGGACAGTAGTGACCTTGTTCTCTCCTCCCCAGAGCTGAAGGGCCTAGGAGCTGACTTCACCTTTGGCTTCGTCCAGGTGATGGATGGGGAGACGGATCCCCGTAATCTTCTGGTGGCCTTCCGCATCGCCCATGACTTCATCTCCAGGGACTATAACCTGGGTATGCCCTTGTAGCCTTGAATTAGCTGGTTGAGGCTTATCTGATGAGTGAAGCTTATAAGTCAACCTCATTCTTTCTCCTTTGCCTTAGGAATCTTTGTGGAGGAGCTGTTTGATGTGACATCCTGTTATTTCCCTATTGATTTTATCCCTGTAAGTAGCACCTTTCATTCATTTATTCATTCAGTCAAATATTCATTGAGTGCCTGCTATCGGCCAGGCCCACTAGTAGGCACTGAGAGTACAGCAATGAACAAAAGAGACAATCCCTGCCCTCAGGATCTTATATTTTAATAAATTGAGAAGTAGAGAAGCATTTGCCATCAGAGGAAGTATTCCGTTCAGCCGGTATTTAGAGAGCTCCTTAACCTCCTTTACCAATGTACTTAGTGTGAGGACTACAGGATTGTAAAACATGGTTCCTGCCCTTGAAGGTTGAAACATTTAAGTAACAATATGAGATTTTGGACCAAAACGAATGGTGTTACAGTTTTTCAGAGAAGACAGAGTTCAGTGTGAACTAGAATAGGCTGAAACTGACTTCACAGATAAGATAGGATTCCACTTGGTTTCTGAGGGATGTATAGAATATGATCCTGGATCCTGAGGGGGCATCTCAAGCAATAGAAACAAATTGAGAAAACCAAGAAGACACATTTGAGCACAGTATGTACAGGAGGTGTTTGCTCTGACCCCCTTAGACCTTTCTCCCACTCTGCATCTGGGTTTCCCTTCTCTTTCCAGATACTTAGGATCTCATCACTACAAGTATTAGTAGTCTGGAAGAAATGAAAGGAGTTATATCACAGCACACCAAACAATATTGACTCATTGCCTTTTAAAGTTACACAGCCATCGTTGCCATAGGAAATTTCTTACCAGCTTATTCCAATTGACATCATATTGCTTGGGATCATCTCGCTCCTGAAATTCTTTTATCTCTTTTATAATCAGTGTCACTATTTCTAACTCAGAACTTATACCTTTGCAATCTTGCAAGCTCTTG